GGGGGGGGGGGGGGGGGGGGGGGGAGACGAGCAAACAACGACGACGCGACAGGCCGTTTATTAGAAGGGAGACAATCAGAGGCCCGGAATGTTTGTCCGCCGCGACGGACGGGCGCGCGCAGGGTGGAGACCACGACCTTCATCGCGACGTTTGTTGTTCTTCCTCTCCGTTTCGGCTTTTCGAAATGCGCCGCGGCACAACGGTATTTTTAACAGAGCAGAAATAATGTGGCAAATACACGAACCTCTCGTTGCTGAGACTGAACGGGTCGCGCTCGAAGAAGTCCACGAAGAGGTCGTAGCGGCCGTGCGGTCCCCACACAAGCGGCAGGTCGGCCGGGTCCATCCTGGGGAACGAGTCGTTGAGCTGGCCGGCGGGGCCGCCGAACTGCAGCAGGAGCTGGAGAAGCAGGGGCAGCAGGGCGAGGCAGTTACAAAGGGGTCGTTACACAAAAGTTTAAAACACTCGCGCCATTTCAGACGCAGTTGATTCCTTTTTCTCTCGAGTGTCTAATCTGTATTTCAGGATTGATAATAAGAAAAACTTTGTTACGACATAATAAAGTTATAGTATATACACCCGGAACTGCGGAGGTACATTTTTTCCATATGATCCGCAAAACGCATTGGTTGAAATGAATAGCCGTAAGAAAAGTACCATTAAACTACACGCTGACAAGTACACGGGGCTTATTTGATTTCGCTCACCTCCTCGACGTCAATGGCGTTGAGCAGCTCCCAGTTGGTGTCGTACTTCGTCTGCTCGCCGCACTGGTGAAGCGCTTCCAGTGAAACGGGAGTGGACTCCGGGTAAGGCTCCGTCACGGTCCCCGGGGGCAGCAGCCCTTCGGTGGAGGTGGAGGCGGAGGTTGGGGACGGCGGCGGAGGCGGGACCGTCTCGTCAACGAGGTCCCCCGCGGCGACGGTCACGGCCACGAGGACGGCGAGCAGGGAGTAGCGAGCGGTCTGCAAATAGCAAATAAGTCTTAGGCGGCGCATCCAGCTCAGGACTACTCACTAGTTTTATTGCCATACCCTGAGAATGCAGGCCTGAACCTGTGAGAGGGAGTTCTCTCCCCGTCCCGGAACTCACCGTGGGACCCGGGGCGCGTCCAACCAAGTGCACTACTCACTACTTGTATCGCCACTCCCAAGGATGTAGCTGAACCTGGTACTCACCACCATGCTGAGGCATTAGAGCGCGTCCGACCGAGTACTTACTTACACACCGACTTCCCCGAGGATGCAACACAGCTCAACCTGCGAGAGGGAATAGTTTTCTGCCCGACCGGGTACTCACCGCCATGGTGGGGCCCTGGCGCGCGTCTGTCCTGTCGGACCCGTCGGTGCCGCGGTCTCGGTGCGCCGGCGTCGCACTTCAAGACAGTACACACGTGAAGGACGCGGGGGTATCCCGCCGGAGCTCCGGGCCCGGGTCACGTGACCCCCTCCCGCATCCCGGCCCCCTCTAAGTTAACCCGAGTTTAATGGGCCAGGTCGGCTCACCGCCGCTCTGCACGGCTTCGACGTGTCGCGAACGCAGGATGATTGCATGTTGCCTGTCTCTCGGCGGTGCGCAAAAATAAATTGTCCTAAAAATGAGAATCATTGCTGTTTTTATTTTTAATTCACTTTTCACAATGATGTCGATTACGAATTTTCTCGTTTGCCCGTTTTTTTGTATGTTTTTCACTGATAAATGGGTGTGACAAACAAATCAGTTTAGGGATACATGGTTAAAAGAAATAACCATAATCATGATTTTCTCATTTTTAAGACATTTTTTTTTGCCGAGTGCGACGGCGCGCCAGGAGGCGGTACTCGCCTGGATGCTGCTGCTGTGTGTGTGCGGAGATTAGATTCGGCGAGGATCGGTACGGTGACGTCAGCCGATCCATGGTGGCTACTGCTGCACTGGTAATCCGAGGCTTGTAAATAAAACATCCGGGGCAGGTTGGTATTTTTTTTCTTTATTGAGTTTCGAGTTTTGGCCCCACGTTTCCATAGCCGTACGCTCGCTGCATTATTCAACGACCTTTCGCCAGACGACGACAAAGTTTGTAATTCGGGGTGAATGGGAATGCAGTCCCTGCTTCGTGGGGTATCGGCTCGGCATGCCGTTGGTTAGGATCCTTTCTTTCATACAATTTCATAATTGCTTTCAGAGTTTTTGAGATAAGGTGCTTCGGAATTTTAATTTTCCAGAAAAGTGTTTTGGGGAAAATTTTCACGAATTTTCTTTATAAAAGTCCTGGAAAGTTCGTTTCAAATTTTTCTGAAAATATTTCAATGTTTTCAATCTTTTCCTTAAAAAGTTTCCAATGTTTCCCGGGAAAATTTCGAACTTTCCAATCGTCAAATACAACTGTAACTAGCCCACCCACACGACATTGTCTACGCGGGATACATTTTGACGGCTATCCGACCAGTGAGGCGATGAGGGCGCCGGACGTGCTCGAGATGCAGAAGGCGCAGGGGTTCTCGCTGTCGGGCCCGTAGCAGGACAGGGTCTTGTCCTTGCGGAAGATGTTGCAGTGCGCCTGCAGCACCTCGGCGACGAACCCTCCCTTGTCGTCCTGGCGGTACTTGGCGTGCCGCAGCGCGCCGCACAGCCCCTCCTCGGGGGACCACCACACCTCGCCGCGCACGTCCACGTACTCGTCGGCCGTCCCCTTGGAGCGCAGCAGCGCGTGCTCCAGCCGCACGTACTTGTCGTAGTCCGTGGACCTGTCCGGGTCAGACCGCAATTACAGACAGATGCTTGGGCGGCGACCGAGGGGTGCTGCACTACAAATTCAAACGGAAACCAATTTTTCTGATTTTTCCTTGATTTGTCTCTGTTTTTCTGGATTTTTTTTTCTTTCTGGTTTTAAATTGATATTATTGATTTTTCCTTGTTTTTTTCGACAGTCTAATGATTTTTTTTAGTGAAGTACTCCTTGGTGGTGTATAGGATCGTCTAGAAAGTACGAAAGTACACCCGCCTTCCTCACTGAATCGTTCGGCAAATTTACTTATGGGGGAGCTCGGCGCCTGCGAGACTCGGGGTAGGCCACCCCGCAGAACACGCATGCGCTGAAGGCGAGATATTGCCTACCTACCAGGCGCTACGAGAGCATGCAGGCAGGCAGAGGATGAGCTCTGCAGTGTCGTAACGATAAAATGATGTGCGCACGTTCTGGGTGATCTCAAAGCGCCCACCGTATAAATGCAGTTCACAGGGAACCACAAGGCGGGCTCACAGCCTCACACAACACAGCCTCGCGGTCAGGACGCAGTACTTACGCGTACTCGTACAGCCAGTAGGACGAGTTGGTGTTGTCGGCGAGGTGCTGGGCGCCTTGTTCGAGCACCGCCTCCCTGTCCGGGACGTCCTTCCGGTCTCTCCAGGTCGCGTTCACTTTGCCCGGCGCGCCGCCCAGACCCTCGAGGACCTGGAGAACAGAGACGCGTGACACCACCGGCGACCGCGCGACCAGCCCACCAACCGCACAGGGGTCGAGAGGGAAAGGACGAGGCTCACCTTGGCGACGTCGTACTTCTTGAGTCTCTCCAGGAGCTCCGGGTTGTTGCTGTACTCGAAGTCGTCGTAGCAGTCGTCATCGTCCTTTTGCGTCGTCGTGGCCTCCGTCGAAGAGGTGAGCTCTGCCGGCGCCGGAGAAGTAGAAGTAGTAGGAGCGTGCGGTGGAGAAGGGGCACCAGGTGCTGCTGGAGAAGTGGCACCCGGTGCTGGAGAAGTGGCACCCGGTGCTGGAGAAGCGGCACCCGGTCCTGAAGAAGTGGCACCGGGCGCTGAAGAAGCGGCACCCGGTGCTGGAGAAGCGGCACCCGGTGCTGGAGAAGTGATTCCCGGCGGTGGAGAAGTGGCACCCGGTGCTGGAGAAGCGGCACCCGGCGCTGGAGAAAGCGCGAAAACGGCGACAGCGGCCAAACTCACGGCGAGTCGAAGCTGCCGCCGGGAGAAGTTTGAGTTGGCTGCAGGGTTTGCGTCCACGCGGGGTCGGCCGGCTGCAGGTACCCACCTTCATGTCGGTCCGGTAGGCTGGGCGGCGCGGTCTGGAGTGACGCCACGGAGGCGCCATACCGACATGCGCGCACCAAGGCCGGGACCGCCAGGAGGGCGCCGCCAGGCCAGGGCAGAGCACCGCGGCCGGGAGCTGGAGAGGTTCAACCTGTTCCCGAGCCGGTCATGACCTCCCGCCGACTGTTTGGCGCGAATAAATACGAAAATAAATAATGCGCCGCCCGGTGTGAGTGTGATATAAACTTGGCACCGATGGACGCTTCTTGGAATGCTTTCGGCGGATGCCCATAAAGTTTGCACCACGTTCGAGGGCTCTTCATTTTGAACCAATGGCTCTAGCCCCATGACTTGCGTGGGTAAATCGAGGAGACTGTCAAAGTTGTCTCTCAAACAATGAATAAATTGCGTATAGCTGGAAGCAGGTGTCTGCGAAGTCAGCCGGTCGGCTTTTACGGCGCGAAAATAATTCATTCGCTTTTGGCTTTTCCGGGCGCGCGTCTGCGCGAATAATCCCCCACGATGTGCAAATAAATTGCCCATCGATTGTTTCTCAGGGCGACCAGCCAGGGGGAAGGCAAGGGAAGGCTCCTTAATTAATGAAAGGCTGGGAAGACGGCCCGTCGGGGAAGTCGGCGCGAAAATAATACATCACTTCCACCTCCACCCCCCTCCTCCACCCCCGCTGTGAAAGTAAAGAGTCTTCTGAGGGCAAAACAATTAAGTGTTACAGGGCGTGGTGCAGGCATTGGGGAGTTTGCCAGTCGACATAGCCGCGACGGCGGGCCGTGCAGCCGTTCAGACGGGCCCCATCTCAAGGTAAGGGCGGGGCGGGG